TACCCTCCCACCCACCCACAGGGCCAAAGAATTTTGAGGTGTCACCTCAGTGAGGCTACGAGGGCACACTGGGTCAAAAGTAGTGTGGATAAGTCAATCAGGCATCAGAGGTTGGTGTCTTCAACCACAGCAGACCAAGAGGTTTTGTTACTGAAACCAAAGTGGGTTCCCTCCTGATGAGTTAAATCGGACTCTCCACTAGAAGTAGTAGTCTCACAAAGTAAGGGATATTTGCAGCAAATAGGAGACCATGGGGAATCATTTCCAGAGTCATGGCGTCCCCAAACAAAGGGAAGCAGGGACCTTTTATTTCGGGTGGGGAATGAATATTCAAAAGGGAGAGGTGGGTATTCACTTGCACAGGCTCCGTTCGAAAACATGCTTCCACATACACTGCAGGTTACGGGAATAAGGCCTAAGATTCTCCTGGAGAGATCGCAGCATCGAACATAAGGCAAAGGTCATAAGCATAGCTCTTGTAGTGAGGCTTGGTCTGGTTCAAGGTGGTTGGTGATTGCATTCTCTTAACATAATGAAAGGGGAAAAAACAATTTGGAAAAACAATTCAATTCTTCCAAACCCGTCCTTGACTTCCTCAGGGCAGCTAGTTGGTGACAGTTTCCCACTTTCATAGTCAGAGGAGTGCACAGAGTGGGAGACAGAGGCCTCTTCCAGGGGAAGCACTGGACCCCTAGCCCCGCAAATGACACACAAAGACCTTCATCTCTTCTACATGCAGAAGCCCTTGTGAGATGGCAGAGGGCTGGACGAGATGTTGTGTGCTCTCCTGCTAGAACCACTGAGCAACTGTGTGGTTCACCCAGAGACCCTTAGGGCATCCCCCACTCTTTCTGACCTCACGGCCATCCTAATTAATTCAGTCTCTCTCCTTAGGCAATATATGCTCACACGTTTGGGATGAGCAAGCAGCGCATTTCTTCTTTGGAGCAGACATATGTTTTCTCAAAATATTTTCCCTTGGAAAACCACCCACATCCTGGTCTATTGAACGCTGGTCAGTCCAAGTGAATGGGTGAGGAGTGACCCCCACCCTTTGCCCCAGGGGTGGGCATGTGATAAACACAAGCCAAACCTAGTACTCAATTTCCTTGACCACAGTGCTTCAGAGGTAGATGTGTAGCTCAAGCCAGAAAAATCAGCCTTCCTGCTTTCTGGAGCTCTCAGAAGGGACTTTCTCTCTTCCACTGGGATCAAAGATCTTTAGGGCCCCTGGAGCTGCCAGGAGCCATTTTCCCCTCCATTTAGAATGACCTGGATGGAGAAAAAAAGAGCTAAGAAATAGAGAGAGAGATCCTTGCATACATCTAATCACGGCGTAAATATACGGACTTTTCAGTTTATGTAAACCAATTAATTTCCTTTTTTTTGTTTTTGCTTGAATTCATTTGAGTTGGGTTTTCTACATCTGGAACAAAAAGAGTTCTGACTAATATATCTATTATGGTCATCAGATTTATCAAATAAAAATACAGGAAGCACAATTGAATTTGAATAATTTCTTAGTGTATGTCCCAAATATTACATAGCGGGTACTTATACTAAAAAAAGAAATTCACTGTTTACCTGAAATTCACATTTAACTGGACATTCAATATTTTATCTGTCAATCCTATCTGGGATATATAATTTGTATCAAAAGTGTTTTTAGGGGCCGGCCCGGTAGCGCAGTGGTTAAGTTCGCATGTTCTGCTTCGGCAGCCCGGGGTTCACCAGTTTGGGTCCCAGGTGCAGACATGGCACTGCTTGGCACACCATGCTGTGGTAGGCAGCCCACATATAAAGAAGAGGAAGATGGGCATGGATGTTAGCTCAGGGCCAATCTTCCTCAAAAAAAAGAAAAAAATATTTTTAAATCCTCTGCTCAAAAGGGAAGAGATCAATGTTGATGCAAATAACCAATAACCGCTCTATAGATAAGAAAGGTGAGTTTTACTTGAGCCAAGCTGAGGACTCCTAGCCCAGGGAGGCAGTCTCCACATAGGAAGAAAATGTTCTGGAGACCATGGTTTTCAGTACAGTTTTGTACCTTTTAGAACAAAGAACATACAAATATGCCCAAGATAAATATTCATCAAAATTTCAAAGAGATATTTAGTTACAGATTATTAGCAGGTCAACATGACCATGACGTCCAAGAAGGGAAACTTCAGGAGTACTGATGCTGTAGGAAAGGAAGTAAGCATTCTTATCTTCAAAGAGTGCATTCTTTTACTTTGAGATAATGTTTAATGCATTTTGTACTTTAAAGGTTAAAGTAGATGTACAATGTATGTTTGACAGGCCATAAGTCAGGCTTTTCAGTTCAGGTCGACTCAGGTTTAAATTAAAACAGCTACCCTATGTACCTCAAAATGTGAAGAGTTCTTGTCCTTAATCAACTGCTGGATTTGCCCTTGACAAAACATGGATATTGGGGCTGGCCTGGCAGTCTAGTGGTTAAGTTTTCTCCCTCTGCTTTGATGGCCTGAGGTTTGCTGGTTCAGATACTGGGCACGGACCTATGCACGGCTTATCGAGCCATGCTATGGTGGCATCGCACATATAAAATAGAGGAAGATGGGCACGGATGTTAGCTCAGGGCCAGTCTTCCTCAGCAAAAAGAAAAAAAAAGAAAAAGAAAAAGAACATGGCTAGAAGATGAGGAACATTTCTACAGACACCACAGACAGACGTGTCCTGATGAAACCTTTCTCCTCCAAGTCATCTGTTTCCTATAAGCCAGATGAGGACGGTAAGGAGTTCCAGGGTCAAGCTAATTTAATCTTCATCAAATCTAGAAATGCTTCAGCTGGGCCAGGGACTCCCACTTTCCCCATACACTGGAATCACCTGAGGGAGCTTTCAAACTTCCCATGCACAGTTCACACAGCTCAGACCAATCACATCAGAAGCAGCAAAGACTCCCACGGGTGATCTCAACGTGCAGCCACTGCCGAGAACCACAGAGCTAGGCCCTTGAGAAGATTCAGCCAAACTGCAGGAGTTCAAACAAGAAGTGAGAAGTGTGGTCCCCAGGCCCCCCTCCTTCCTCTGAGCAGCTACCAGGAGTGAGCAGTTCACCCTCAGATGAGATTAGCCCACCGGTAGCTTGACTGTCGGATATCCTGGTGGCACCCCTGCCACAGGGCGTTGGGCCTTCCTGTCCCACGTGGCTAGCAGGTGTTTGGGTTGCCGGGAAGTGGGCAAGGGGGCCCATCCTTGCTCAGAGTCCGCTCCAGAATAAACAAAGCATCGGACAGAGCATGTGAATTTCATGCCTCCACACAGCTCACTGCAGGTTCCCAGCGCAGAGAAAAAAATTGCATTAGCGAGCTGATGGGGAGGGAGGGGCTGGGTGAGGCAGGGTGGGGGAAAGCGTGCTAGATGAGTTTCTGTGATAATCAACAACAGCCTTTCTTTCCTTCTCTGTGTGCAGACAACCCACCCCTCAGGTCTAGACCTGCCAGGGCGCATCCCAACTGGCTCCAGGTCCTAAGTCATTGCACCTCGTTCTCAGAGGAGCAGAGATTCCTCAGAGCCTCCAAGTCAGCAACAAGGTACCTGGGAGGGAGGGCTCCTCCTCCACCCCCAAATCTGCCTCACCTATTCTTCAGCCCGCCAACACGATCTCTGCCCCAGCACACCCCTCCACCGTTAAGGGGGGAAACCATATCTATTGAGCAGTTTTAGGTTCACAGCAAAACTGAGCAGAAGGTACAGAGAGTTCCTGTATACCCCCTGCCCCTACACAAGCATAGCCTCCCCCATTATCAACATCCCCCACCCCAGTGGTACAGTGTTACAACTGATGAACCTACATTGACTTATCATTATCCCCAAAGTCCACAGTTTACATTAGGGTTCACTATTGGTATGGTACATTCTATGGGTTTGGACAAATGTATTATGGGATGTATCCACCATTATAGTGTCATTCAGAGTAGTTTCACTTCCCTAAGATTCCCCTATGCTCTGCCAATTCATCCTCCCTTCCCAATTCATCCTCCCTTCCCGTTAATCCTTGGCAACCACATCCTAACCATGTCCATTCTTTTTTTTTTTTTTTTTTTGAGGAAGATTAGCCCTGAGCTAACTACTGGGCAATCCTCCTCTTTTTGCTGAGGAAAACTGGCCCTGAGCTAACATCCGTGCCCATTTCCTCCACTTTATACATGGGACGCCTGCCACAGCGTGGCTTTCGTCAAGCGGTGCCATGTCCACACCCGGGATCCGGGCCAGCAAACCCCAGGCCACCGAGAAGTGGAACATGCGAACTTAACTGCTGCACCACCAGGCAGGCCCACCATGTCCATTCTTGATTAGGTCCTCAATGCTCCGGGCATTCTCCTAGGCATCCTGAATGCATTAGATACACACAATTGGCCAATGGAAAGGAAACATCTGGAACTGTCACTGATTAAATTGACTTGAAACATTGCCCCTTCCAGCTGTTATGAATATCTCTAGTGGGACAAGCACCATTAAAACGGAAGGCTAGGTAATCATTTCATAACATGTAAGTCAAACCCTTATGCTGTACGCCTGAAACTCGTACAGTGTTGTATGTCAATTATATCAATAAAACTAGGGAAAAAACCCCTGAAGACTGGGTGAACATGTGTCCTAGTGGTAGGATGACACTAAGGTGACACTTAGCTGACACTAAGGCCAAGTCCAGGGCAGGCTGGTGGATTCGTCTCCCCAATGGCAGCAAGTGGGTTCCGGCCATTTTGCACTGCTGCCCTTATAAGCTAGGCTGGAAGACTCAGCTCTAAACCAATACCTTTTCAAGTTTAAAAGCCCTCTGCCTGGACACAAGAGGAAAGACAAGCAAGGGGATAAGACCATAGAGGGACGATTTTGAACTCTATTCCACGTGGACCTTGAGATGAAAGTGACAAAGCCCTGCCTGCTGGGAACCCCACCTCTTGTGGCCCCCGCAACAGGTTGATGGAGTCATAGTGGGGCTGGTGACACCACACTTGGTGAGGGTTCTATGACAAAGGCTCCTCCCACCTGCCCTCTCTAAGTGGGGAAGCAGAGCTCTTCCTAAGAGGGCCCTACATCAGGCAGACTAATGAATGGCCAGAAGGAGAGCAGAGCTTGGACAAATGGAAAATGAACCCCAACAGCTGAGACAGCCAAGGCCCAAGTGTGCAGGCTGCAGGAAGAAGTACCCCGAGATGAGCAGCCTTATGGGCTCACGTGTATTCATCCAGGACATGTAATTGCCAGAGAGGCTGACAAGCTGAGAGCCACCCCAGCTGTCCCATTTACTCACCTAGTAATTTGACGGTTCATTAACTCATCCAACAAATAGCTACTTAGTGCTGACCGGTCTACTGGGGATAAGAAGGTGAGCAGCAGAGTCATGACCCTGGCTCTCTTTCATTCACATCCACCCTCCACTGTTTCCATTTGTAACAAAATAGCTACAGGGAGATGAAGGGAAGCAAGAGGCTTCTGCGGCTTATCCTAAGCGGGGGAATTAACCTAGTAGCCTCCTGAAATGATTCACTAGCAAGTCGCCTCCATGTCTGAATCTGCCGGTGGATGCTTTCAAGAGCATCACAAACTGATCCACTTTAGGAAACTTTTCAGAAACCATCTCATTTCCTCTGGGAAAACCAGAATTGCACACATTTGCGCTGAGGGTCGGGTCGGGGTGTCTTGCTCTACCTTAACCAAATCTGCCACAAAGGGGAGACCCTCCCAGACAGCAGACTAATCTTTTCTCTCTTCTCTTTTTAAGGACAATAGAAGTTTCCAGACACTTCACAGTGGTGTGGGGCCCAGGGTGTCACCTTGGAATCACAGAGGGTAGCTTCCCTCAGAAAAGGACTCCCAGTTTTCACAATTCCTGGTAAATTATGGTAAAATAAGGCCCTTTGGTTAGTAGAAGGTTTGTCACAATGTATAATAGGTTTGGGTTTTCAAGAAAATCACTAAGAGGTCTGGATATTTATTCCCAAGTCCTTTCCCTCTCACTAGGGGAATGTTTTCAAGGAGTCTTGGCTATGGTCAAGGACTGCAGACTGGGTACAAAGGTCACCTAAGTCCTAAATGTAGATTACAGTATGTCTCCTACCTGTTTTTACGATTGCTCAATAGATATAGATGCCACTTTAAGTAACGACATACAAATTCATTTTTTATAGTTTTATTGAGGTATAATTGATATACAAAGAACTGCACATACTTAATGCGTACAATTTGATGAGTTTGGACATATGCTAATACCCATGATGCCATCATCACAATCAAGGTAACAGACATTTATCACACCTCTAAGAGTTTCCTTGTGTCCTTTTGTTTTGTTTCTGTTTTTCGTTTTGTTTTTCATAAGGAAACTTAACAAGATGTCTACCCTCTTTTGAGGTGCCCGAGGTCGTATTGTTCACTACAGGCACTATGTTGTACAACAGCTCTCTAGAATGTGTTCATTTAGCATGTCTGGAAATTTATACCGCTTGAGTAACAACTCTCCGTTTCCCCCACCCCCAAGCCCCTGGCAGCTGTTCTAGTACTCTCCACTTCTACGAGTCTGATTATTTTAGATTCCTTATGTAAGTGGAATCACGCAGTATTTGTCCTTCTGTGATTGGCTCATTTCACTTAGCATAATGGCCTCCTGGTTCATCCATGTTCTTTCAAATGGCAGGATTTCCTTCTTTTTCTAAGGCTGAACAATATTCTGTTAAATGTATATACCATGTTTTCTTTACAAATTCATTTTTAAAAGCTTTTTGCACGGTGTCTTTTCTTTAGCCGTCTGAAGCTCCAAGCTCCCTGGGGAGCCTTAACTAAGAGAAAGACATTAGTAAATATTTCCATTCTGTTGTGTTTTCAAAAGATTTAAGTCTTTGTTAAGAGTTAAATATAAATGTTAACCTATTGTTTTACAGAGAAGTAGGGTCTTTGGGGAACTGTTTGTACCTGGATTATAGTTATATGTTTGTGGTACATGATTTAGAGGGGTACGAGGATCCTTGGTAGGAAGGGTAGAAGGAGACTGGAAAGCAGGAATGACCTACAAGGTCACTACTTTCAATCTTGTAAGTTTCCAATTTCTATTTGGTCAAGTCCCCAATTACAAGCACCCCGGCAATAGATTTCTTCCATTTAGATCTACCTATTTTTGCATAGCAACTTTTTTGTTACCAATGGCACTTTAGAAACCAAGAGTTTAGATAAACTAGACTTGGAATCAGACTTTCAAATTGCTATATTACAAAAATAACAACCTACTAAATCACATTAACCTAACAAAGATAAACACTTTGTTCTGTTGAAGAGAGTTTCTTTTGTTTTGATCTTGCCCTTTTCATTTCCTTCCTTCGTGTATGTTTCACATGTTCTTAGGTAGGTATAAGACTACATGCCTATAACTTCCAAATATATAAGTATTCATACTAGGAGTGCTCGGACGCTCAAAAACATTTTATCATAAGAATGCACAATCAAAACTGTTTGGGGCGTGTTGGCCATGTGGCCGAGTGGGTAAGTTTGTGCTCTCTGCTTCTGTGGGCCTGGGTTCATGGGTTTAGATCCTGGGCACAGATCTACACACTGCACAGCAGACCATGCTGTGGCAGCATCCCACATAGAAGAGCTAGAATGACCTACAACTAGGATATTACAACTATATACTAGGGCTTTGGGAGAAAAAAAAAAAGAGGAATATTGGCAACAGATGTTAGCTCAGTGCCAATCTTCCTCACCAAAACAAAAACAGAAAACAGCAAAAAACTGTTTAGAGATCACGGAACTAGATTAATGATCTCTTGCTGTCTTTTGTCAGCAAATGAATCAGAAAAGTGCTTTCATTGCCATTACAGTCATGTGTCACTTCATAATGGGGATACATTCTGAGAAATGTGTTGTTAGGTGATTTCATTGTTGTGTGAACATCATAGAGTGTACTTACACAAACCTAGATGGTATAGCCTGCTACACACCTAGGCACCATAGTACTAATCTTATGGGACCACTGTTCTATACGCAGTGCATCATTGACCGAAATGTCATTATGTAGCACATGACTATATTTGATGCCAGTGTCATGCTACCACATTCCCCAGGCCTGAGTCATCCTTGTTAACATTTACATTTGAGCTTGTTAATTTAACCCCAGACTTGGAAAGAAAAGACAGGAAATGTGGGTTTCATAACTACTATAACAGTCCTACCTCATGCTCTTCCTTGCCTCTGGGCTGGGATCCAAGTCTGGAAAAGTCCAAAATTCCCAGATTCAGCCGAGACGCTTCTCTGTTTCTCAGGAAGCAAACAGTGTGCACTTGACACAGTAACACCCTTTTTCAGGCAAAGAGCAAAACCCAAAGACCGGCACTGGAACGCAGCACAATGGTTAACATGGGGATCTGGCCATGTCTGAGTGTCAGAGAGTTCTAGAACCAGAAGAAACCTTAGGGGTACATTATTGCATAAATGAGGACACAAGAGGCCAAAGATCAGAATGATTCACCCAAGATTATACAGTCGTTAGTGGCACATCCGCCACTAACCATGACCAAGTCTTCGGACTGTAGTTGGGCTCTCGGACTCTCTGATATCCCCTCAGGACTGATGTCGGGGAGGGAGCCATGAGGAGCATGGAGTTGTTGGCTGCTGATGAGACACGGCTGGATAACTTCTGGTGCTCAAAGAGCCCAGTCAGTGTTTTAACAGAAATCTGTGCGTGCTGACTCAGTGTGCCTGTGTGGGGTCCATTACGAGAGGACTGCGGAGTCCACCCATCTGGGAAAGGTTGCTTTGCACAGGCCTGCCTCTGGAAAATAGAAAGCTTTCTTTCTGTTTCTTCAACGTTGGACGATGGACTCACAGCTCCAGCTCTTCTGATGATGCCTACAACTCCAACACACGCTGAAGTGCTGACAGACCTGAAATGAAATAGGGAGAGTGGAGCATAGAACTTCAAGGAAGGCAGAGATCTGCTTGGGTGTTGCCCACTGCTGTATCCTTGGTGCCTGGCACAGAGGAAGCACTCAGAAAATTTTTGTTGAGTGAGAAAGCCCTCACTCGAGAAGGTGGAAGAGGGACAAATGGAGAGGACCGAGTTTTCAATCCTGTTTATGCTGGGCTTGTGGGTGGCCACAGAGTTGAGAGCTGGAAGTCCAACCAAGAGAGCAGATCAGGAAAGACCCAAGAAACATCCCAGTTGGTCTCCTTCTCTCATGCTTTGACCTGCTCATGACTGCATTAAATCTACTGCTGGCCCATGAGGCCTCAGTGAAAACTCCTGTTTTTCTTCCAAAGCTGGGATATAAGCCCACTTATTACCCTCCACTTAGCTGGCTTTCTACTGTCCCTTCCTAATTTTCTCAGTTTGGGGATGGAAAGACTGCCCTGGGCTCTGTAGAGAGCAGGTCTGCATCTTAGGCCTGCTCAGGCCCAACTCTGGTCCTTACACAAGTCACTTCCTCTGAGACTCAGTTTCCTCTTGAACGAGACAGAAATAATGATGTAGGCCATACCCACTCACCTCATGGGCTGTGGAGAGGACTGAATAATTGATGGTAAAGTGCTTCACACACTGTAAAACCCTCTGCACATGCGTGTTGGCATTAGAGAGAAGGAGTCACATCTACTCCATCCAGTGGTAGATTTTGCCTGTGAGCTTGTTGCTGCTCATCTTCAGGTAGAGGGGCTCCATTTTAACTGGTCCAGGAGAAAAGCCCTTTTCCAGTTGGTCTCTGTGTACGAGTTTAATCTTAATTATGAGGACCAGCCACTGCGGGGCACGACTTGATTTTCCATCTCCACATGGAGCATCAGAACTCAAGAGTTCTTTAAAAAGGAAACTATTAACACCATTTGGTAGATGGAGTGTGCATATGGATTTGAGGCATTTGGCCAAAACTTATATTTTTCTCTGAGGCCTTAGAAGCTTCTTCTGAGGACACTGGAAACGCTATGTCTTGAAGCTTCCTCAGGGCACTTCACAAATGCTTTGGTATTTTGCATTATATTCTTATAGCAAATAAAATATTTCAGAGACATTAATTGAATGTATGTAGTTTTGAGCACACCTTGGCTCTTTCCAGCATCAAGTGGCTCTGTCCTCACACTGCCTCTCCCCCACCACATGTACTCGGACCGCAAATCACAGTCGAGGCCCCACCCCTCTCTCCCGTCAGCAAGGGTGACCCAGCGGTCATGAGCACACCAGCAGAGGGAGGATGGTGTGGGAGGCAGCCTTCTGGAGGACCCTCAATGATCCCCACATCCTGGTATTCTCACCCTTGGGTGATCCTCACTTCTAATGAATAGAATATGGCAGAAGCAGTGGGGTATCATTTCCAAGATTAGGTTATAAAAAGACTGTGGTTTCCATCCTGGGTACCTGAGCAGCCTCTCTCTCTCTCTCTCTCTCTCTCTCTCGGATAACTCACATCAAAAGCAGCCCAATGAAGAGGACCACATGGCCTTAATGAGAATATTTGGGCATTCCACAACTGTGAAGTTTCCTTCCTCTCTCCACGTTGGTGACCAATAATACTATCATAAATGTGTTTGGTTTTTTTCATTTCACAGTGTATTAATGTATTTGTATACTGTGTAGATTTAAAGTCATAAACAGCATTTATTACCTTGGTAAAAAAATATGGTGTGGCTAGGAATGAGGCCCTCAATCCAACAGTCTATGAGGAACTAAGGCTGCCAACAAGCACATGAGTGAGCTCATAAGCAGATCCTTTGGTCCCTGCCAAGTCCTGAGATGTCCCAGCTCCAGCTGACAGCAGCCGGACTGCAACCTCATGAGAAACCTGGAGCCAGAGGCACCTGGCTAGGACACACCCCAATTCCTGATGCACAGAAACTGTTAGACAGTCCATGTTAGTTGTTTAAAGTCTTAGTTTTAGGTATTTTCTTGCACAGACATAACTAATATGGATGGAGAGAAACAAGGAAAAGTAGAAATGGTAGAGTTGGAGAAAAAAGAGGGAAGGAGGGAGGAGAAGGGAGTGAAGGAAGAAAGACGAAGAGTGGGTGTGTCTGAGCAGGACAGAACACCACCAACCACCACCATGCAGAGTGGTGAGTGCTTGGGCCCTGGCACCAGACGGCCTGGGTTTGAATCCTGGCTCTGCCACTGCATTAGTCTCCTGGGGCCGCTGTAACAACGTACCACACACTGGGTCGCTCACTTCAACAACAGAGATTTATTGTCTCGCAGTTCTGGAGGCAAGAAGTCTGAGATCAACGTGTTGGTAAGATTGGTTCCTTCTGAGGGCTGTGAGGTGGAGAATCTGTTCCAGGCCTCTTCCTTACCTTCTGGTCATTTTCTGACAGTCTTTGGCATCCTTGCCTTGTAGGTCCCTGCCTTCATCTTCACAGTGTTCTCCCTGTTTGTGTTCAAATTTCCCTTTTTTTTCTTAATAAGGACACCAGTCATACTGGATTAGGGCCCACCCTAAAGACCCTATTTCCAAATAAGGTCATGTTTTGAGGTACTGAGGGTTAGTACTTCAATGTATGAATTTTAGGGGACACACTTCAGCCCATAACAGTCATAACAATTCAGCCCATTACTAGCGGTATGGCTGGGAGAAATCATTTAACCTCTCTGAGCCTCAGTTTCCTCATCTATAAAATTGAGATATAGTAGTACCTATACAATGGGGTCATTATAAGGATTGAGCAATATTTGAAGAGTGTTTAAAACAGCAGCTGTACATAGCATTTGTTATATGAGTTAATGGGTCTGCAATAATGTGGTGGTTCTAACACACAAATGGACACAAACGCTGGGTTGGGGGTGTCTAGTCTACAACGATTCCTTAAGTGGCCAGGTCGATGTGTCCTTCTCTGCTTTGTGGGGAAACGGCCCCTTGTCCCTCACCGTCCACACATAGAGTATAGGGGATTTTGCTGATGAGAGTCATTGAGTTCCAGAAAGTACCATAGGAGGGCGTAGGAGGGTTGGGAAGGACAGAAGATGAGTTCAGACAAGAGGAGGTACTGCATGCTGGTTGAAGCTAGACCTGGGAGGCTTGGGCTAGAGTTAATCCTGGACTCTCTTGGAGGAAAGTGGGTTTCCACTTCTAATTATAGTCCAGATGTGTTTGTTGGAAGCTATGGAGTTTCCCAGCATCAAGGTGGCCTGATGACTAGGCTGCTGTGGTTCTGCCCTTGAGAATCACTGAGGGCACCTTTTCACCAGAGATCCTGCTTCAGTTGGCCTGGGCGTTAGTATTTTTGAAATGTTCCCAAAGTAGTTCAAACATACATGCAGGCATGAGAACCAGTATGAGAAACTCCTTCCAGTCCCTTGCTACTCCCAGTGTGGTCCAGGGATCAGCGGGTAGTGGCACCACCTGGGAGTGTGTTAGAAATGCAGACGCTCTGGCCCCACCGCAGACCTGCTGAATCAGAATCTGCATTTTAGCAAGATCCCGGAGGAGAAGTGCGAAGCCCTGGCATGCAGCTTTGTGAGCAGTGGCAGCCTGGGGTCTTTTGTGGGGAGCACCTGGGTTCTGCCCTAGGGCAGTCTGACTCACCTGAGCCAGAGGTGATGGGAAGCCCTCTGCACCTGCTGTGCTCCTGAGACATCCCTTCACTGTAGGGATTACCGTCCAGATACAAGACAGTTAATTTTAAAGACTTACCCCCAAGCAAGCTCTCTCTTCTCCCCCAAGGGTGCCATGTAACAAGCACCTTGAGGTAGGTGAGTACGGAAGTCAGCTGTTTTCCATGTCCGAGCTGGGGAACAGCTGGCCCGCATTAGAGGGGTCAGTCCATGTGCTCTGCTGCACAATTACAGCCAGGTTGGGCTGGCAGCTCAGCATCCCAAGAGAGCTTTTCCCCATGAGCTGATACAAACAGCCTGACCCAGTAAGGCTCATGGAAATAGTCAGATCTTGACACGCTCAAGAAAGAAAATATAATGTTGAAGCTAAAGAAATGTTATAGGGAGGGAGATGTTACAGGAGGAGGCGGGCAAAGAGGTAGATAAGAGAAAAATGGTTAATAAGTTGAGTAAAACCTATATTTTCCTAGCCCACTAAGTCTTTCTGGAAAGAGTCTGTGCTTGCTGATGGAAATATTAGGAAGATGAGCTCACGCTAAACACAGTTCCTCTCAGAGGAGGCTGGAAGAAAACAAGAGATTTGAGACACTTTGTTGAAAATAAATCAGCAGCTTTGAAGGAGATCTGGAGGAGAATTGCAGATGACAGGGAAGTCTCCAGATCAAGGATGAAACCGAGTTGTGCATGAACAGAACTTTCCAGAGATGTTAATCAGAGCAAGAGAATAGACTAACTTAAAAAAAAATCCAGCAGTGTTATGATTATTGTCTGCTTCTTTGATTCTAGATCAAATCCAGCTTCTGTGACATTGCTCCTGAGAAACAGAACGAGAGAACAGCAGAAAACACATGGGCTGGTTATCCAGGAAAGCTTGTGCTCTCTCCGCAGTGCCTCATTTATTGGATTATGCGTAAGACCAGGCTGAGCTATCAGGATAGATTTCTCTTGGAGATGTAGAATGGACCCTCGTAGTGGTGATGTTCCAAAACATTAACTGATTTGATCACGTCACTCCTCAATAATCGTCAGTGGTCCCAAGTGACCTACTAAATAAAGTCCAGATTTTGTAGTTTGGAATTCAATGACCTGCACAAAATCACGAGAGGCAATACAGCAGAGTGGCCTTTGGTGTCAGTCCCAGCTGAGCTTGAAACTCTGCTGACCATGGGTAAATCACTGAACCTTTCTGACCCCATTTGGACAATAAGGGCACCTTTCTTGTCAAGCTCATGGTTAAATGAGAGATTGGATGGACTGCACTTATCCAATATCTAGAACACAGTACTTGGTCAATCCATGACATTATCATTATTGTTCATGATAATAATAACAGGGCTCCTCCAGCCTGCCTTTCTCTCTCTGCGAATGGTTTGCCCCCACCCTATGTGTCTGCCCCCCCCCCCACAACATGTACTATTCCATCTGCACACTGTGTTTCCAGCCTCTAAGTTTTGGCTCACACTGTTCTTACCCTACCCTCCCTTCCAGGCTTGACTCCGGGGCTCTTTCTTTCGTGCATCCTTTGAGGGCAGTGTCCATATCACATGGACCTTGGTTTTCTCAATATCAATGAAAAACCTTGACTATAGTAGGTGCTGAAGAAGCGTTGGATGAATAAGTGACTGAACGAAAGCAAGCTGGTGACAGGGGGCACCTGAAAGGCATTGATGGGAACTGATAGTGGAATAATCGGGGAGGGTTGTGGGTTCTGTGGGCCCGGAGGTCTAATTTCACTGCCACCAATGGACTTGAAGGAAAGGCAAACTCTCCTTGGGTTTCTTGTGTGTGACAAGGGAGGCCAATGCATTTTTCCATAGCTGTGATGCCAAATGATGTCTATAAAGTACCTTTATATGGACCAACCCTTAGTGATAGCCTCTTGAAGGCTAATGTTCCTCTCCTCCTCTTGCATCCCTGACCAAAAGAGGCCAGATGAACTCCCCCTGAAGCCTGGGCCTTCTGAGCTCTCAGTTGGCAGCTCTCTCCAGCCTTGCAAAACTGATCAAAGTTCCAGCTGTCCCACAGCTCAAAGCTGGGCACACACAAACCAGAAAGTCCCTGGATATGGCATCTTTGTATGAATTGGGTGGATAAACAAGCACCCTTTCCCCTACGCAGGGTGCGTGGCTTGGCATGGTGGGTGTGGGCTGGAAAGCAGCCCCATTTCTAGTCCCTCAGCTGGAAGCCCTTGCATGGTGGGTACACTCACATATGTGTGTGAGCATGTGTGCACACACACACACACACTCTTTCTCTAATGAAGAAATCATATGATTGGGGTGTTTCTTGGGGGATTACACATTCTAGGGGCTCAGCACAGGTTTTACAATCAAATATATATTAAAAAATGAAGCTAAGCACAGTTCCTCTTCTTTAGTCTTTCTCAAACTAGAGAGTGCTGGCACAGCCAGGGACATACATACCCAAGACCACAACGAGGCCAGTCAAATGGCTCAGCACACACATGAATTGAAGATACTCTGTTGTCGGAATCGTTCTCTATGAAATAGAGTTCTGTTACGGTGGCTCTCCTTGAGGGCATGGAGGGGCCAGGAGGACTTGGGTGCACACAGTTTGTACCCCTTTTTTGCCATCAAGCTCTCTGCCTGCTGTGATCAGGCACGGCTCATTCTTGGCTGGACAATCCTGTAACTCTGCAAGAAGGCTTTCTAAATGCATTATGGCCAGAGATAGATATTCACAAGAGAATGTGTAAGACCAAAATCTGTCTGAAAAATATAGGAAATTGGGGGTGCATTTCAGTGTCCCTTGAACAGTTTTTGAGTCACAGGGAGATTGGGTGAATGAATGTCTGAAGCAGAGAGGTGCTGGCCTGGTCAAGGAGACTGAAGCCGAGCAAAAAAAAAATTGACCTTAAACATTTCCACTCTAAGGCCCTAACAAGTACCCACTTTCTATTAGGATCAGTTTTAGACTTCTGTGCATTTGCTTTGGCTAAATTTTCAGTCACGGTTGGCAAGCCCTCTCTTGAATAAATCCTTACAAATAGTTTTCAAAAGTGGTTCGGTTACCACCGGTCTTTTGTTTCACAAAATCTGCATTAACAATATCATCTATGCACCCACTGAATGATCCCTTTGTCTTGATATACCTCATCATTAGGGTCTGGGTTAAGGGATGCCATTATCAACTAAGAAAAGGCTAGAATTCAGATGGTGTACACTACATTTCTTTGGGGGCTCACTTATTTCCACGAAGGCCCATGCTGTTTTCATTTGATACTGGCTGTGTGGGGCAGTGTTAATTACACATTTCTATAACACACATTCAACTCACTTCTACCCCTAGACAATCACTTCTATTTGGATCAGAGGAATACTCTGGTTGTCAGACCCAATCCTCACAATATATTTGATGACTTGTGAACTGTAGCACCCCTTACCACGAAAAAAAAGATAGCAGCCAGCCTTTGGCTCAGAAAAGAATCTTTCTTGGGGCATCGAGAATTCCAAAGCTGTCTGAGAAAATGAATGTGTATGGGAGTATTACTTACCCACTCAACCCCTACTCAGAAAGAGCTACCTAGTGAGTGTGATTTCAGTTTCTGGGCCCCCTCCAGCCACCTCCTGCAGCAGCAAAGAAAAGGGGGAGCTTTCCTATCCAGCAAGGTGTTAAACGTGGGCACCATCCTCAAACAGGAAGCCGAGATGTGCCCGCCCCTTCCCCCATCCCTGGCACTTCCTGCTCATTGGGCCAGATGTATGAAACATTTAGGGGACCTCATGGGTTTCCAGGGACTCAATTCAAATTCCTTCCTTCAAATCCAAACTTCAGAGAGAGGAGGAAAGAGAGAGCTCTTGAAACACCCACCTCCTGCTCTTTATGGAGGAAAGAAACCACATACATCTGAAGGTGATTAATTGTCTTTATTGGAGGAAAACAAGAAGTCATCAATCTCATTATCATTATGATAGAAATCGTGATATGTGTACATGATTGTCAAGGCAGAGAATCATTTGCTACATAGGCCCATTAACAATTTTGCAGTGCCGCAAACCTATGTGGGTTAAACTTCTTGCAGAGTTTATTACATGCATGGAATAAATGCACAGTTTCCCTTCTTTTGGACAAGCATGTTTTTATGGAAAAATTGAACCAATCACAAGCCTGGTAATAATAGACACAGGGACATTCCTGGGTTTGACGTTGGAAGCTTTTGGAAAACATGCTCACTGTTGGGGAAGCTGCAAGAAGGGCGATGACATTATCTGTAGTGACTAAAGCCAATTTAGAAATTGTTCCAAATTTTATTCTGGACAGAGTGTACCTTTTGTGTCTTCCAACCTGAATGTGGGCTTAAGATAAATGTTCTCTGAGACAAGCCGCCCCCTCTTTCAAAATAAAGAAGCTGCTGTGGTGTTGCAGCATTTCTGTCACCATTTGGACACATCTGATGCCACCCTGAAGGCCAGTGGCCCTGGGAAGGAGCGTGGTGGGCTTCAGGGTGGAGGACGGTCATCTGAGCGGATGCTCCTCTTCCGTCTCTCTCTCTCTATCTCCCGAGAGCCTGGCTGCCAGACCTGCTCCAGTGCCCTGCTCCCCAAAGGGCAGGGCCACTAAGCGGGCCTAAGAATCTCAGTCTGTCTGGATGAAGGTTTTCCTTGGAGAAATAATTTATCTAGTGTTTGGGGCTTTCAAGTCCCTCGTGATGTATTATCTCTATGACCAAAGGCTCAAACAGTCCTCTCATTTTCTTTTTTCCTGCCCATAAGAAAATAAAATCACCTCTAAGTAAAATAATTCGGTAAATAATCAGGAGACATAATCATTGTATGAGAAGTTCCCTGGAGACCAAAAGGTTAAAAACGGAGGTGGCGAATGCAGAAGCGGCATTAGTACAAAGGGGGAACGCAACAGTTTGTCCCTTTGGTGTAGAAAGATACAGACACCAAGAAGCCATTCCACACTTTGCTTTGTCCACAAAACCAGACCTGGCAGCCACATGCTGCGGGGTTGGCTGCCAAATGCACAGCCTTTGGGTTTGCAGAAGCGGAGTCCCCCAGAGCCACAAGCCGAGCTTCTCCTGCTGCAGGCGGCAGGGATGGCCAGGAAGAGTTAATGTGTCTTCCCATCTAGTTCGGTGCAGAGCAGGGGGCGGGCCAGGCCTTGGTCTGCGTGCAGGGCCGACTTCACAGTGGGGCTGGGCTCCTGCGCCCACGCCCGGACTGCAGATGGCGCTGCACTGGGACCACAAAGAAGGTTTGGGCTGAATGGGGCGTGGGCCTCCCTATTCCTCTTTCTCCTCCCAGCCTGCTGTCCACAGGAGAGGTTTTCAAGCTAACTCATCTGCAGACTAGTTTTCTTGGCATCTTCAGGAAATAAGTGCCCTTTTGGGAATCTGCCAATTCACCTTTTCTATCTCAACATTTTCAATTTTGAAAATCAGAAGATTGGAATCCTTTTTTGCAAATGTCAGGTACACTTGCAGCCCCAACCTAAGACCAGGTGCCCCCTAAAAGAGTGGTGGGTTACGGACAGGTATATACATTTTTTTTTTTTTTTTTTTAGAAACAAACTGAACAGTGTTTGGTCTGGAATGTGTTTAAGGAAAAGGCAAACTCTGCAGAGTGTGAGGAGACAGAACGTGGAAGCAGTACTGTTTCAGAAGAACATGCAAAAGTTTCGTGCATTGGTTGATTCAGAGGACCTTCATTTCCCTTGCCAGAAGTGACTGTGCGACCCTGGGAAAGAGTACATCTTACTTCTGTTTATGGAAGCAGGAGGAGCTGCCCTTTGCCGGCCCTCATTTTCCTTTCATGCATCCAAAGCAAACCCAGCAGGACTCCATGGAAATCATACAGAGGAGGGAGTGTTGCCAGCAGAAGCGCAGAGGCAACAATCCCATCGCTCCTGTCTTCAGCCCGGGAGCGATGGTTCCAGGGTGGCTTCTCCTGTGTGAAGATTCAAAACTGGCCAAGGCTCTGGGTGGGCCCCTGGGCCATGGTGGCCGATGCCTCAAAATACTGACCTGTCCTCCTGGCTGCTTTTATACATACCTGCACTGGTGCCCAAAGACAGGCAGGCTGGAGCTGCTGAACCTAGTAACACTGTGTGTGTGTGTGTGGGCTATCACTAAACATTTAGCCTGGACATAGGTCAAGGTGACAATGATGGCTTGATCAACAGGACCTGCCGAGTGTGGCCAAATGTAGGAGAAGGACATGAGGACAACAGCCAGGAAAGTTACTGGACCATCAGGTGGACCTACAGGGATACCCACAGGCTCAAGGCTGACTGTGCAGAATGTAGACTCATGGTGTCACACGGGCAGGAGGGCCAAAGGAGGGCTTCTGCAAAGCTGGCATGTGGAGCCACCTGCTTGCCACTACAAGACAGCATCCTTGAAGCCTCCTTGAAGAGTGGTTTGCCCTGGGTTTCACACTGTGCTCGCTCTACCCTGCAATCCTATCCACCACGTGGGTGAAGGACGTGGCCCCGTTTGCCCGGGACATTGCCAGTTTTAGCACTAAAAGTCCTACATCCAGGGAAATCCTTCAGTCCTGGGCAAGGTGGGATCTTTGGTGACCCCACCATGACAGGTCTTTGGTTTTCACATTCCCCTGCTCAGAGGGACGTCTTCTGGCACCAGCTGGGCCTGGCTGAGGCACGCTCAGGCCATCAGTGTGGTGGCCAGTGTCCTGCTTGCTCTGCAGGTCACCTCTCCTTACTGCCCTAGATAAATGGATTCTTTTCCAAGGCCATTTGACTCTCCTCCGCCGGATAACATCATAAAGAACAAGGTAAAAATTTGCAGAAACAACTTATGTGAGCTGGAGGCCATTTTAAGATTAGAAATGCGTTTTTAAAAAAGAGAGAGATTCATCTTAAAACTGCATAGCTGAGAGAAGAGCTTTCGTGTGTGACCCCTCACGAGCAAGGAGAGCTGGGTGGGAAGTTCGCTTTAGACCAAATGCCGTCTTCTTTCTTCCGTAAGGGATGCTCTTAAATCTCTGCAGGGCGGGCATCTCCTTCACAGCAAGTCCGGCCTCTGAAGTTTATTCTTCAGTCTCAGGGGAGCAGGCTTCTTCATTTCTGACTGCTGAGGACAAGAGGCCCCGAGGGTCTCTGGTTGGCGAGGGTTTGCTGGAGAAGCTGCCAAGAAAAGTTTTCTGCAGGTTCCCTCCCAAATCTGCCCTGCAGAGAAGACAGGCCTGCAGAAGCCCTAAGCTGTCTTCTTAGAGAGCCGCCCCTCCAAGGAAGGGGAGAGAAAGGGAAGGAACAGAAGCAAAGCTTGGAGACAGCTTCTTGATCCTCTTATTAGAATTTTTAAAAATGCCTTTAAATTTCCCTTGGAGGAAACACAAAAAAATCTCTCAAAGGTTAACATAAAACTCTACTACCAACGAGCGAAAGATATAGGTCATAGAACTAAGAAGGTTATATCGAAAGGACACATCTCTTAAAAGGAAAAAAAAAAATAAAACCCTAATGCACAATATTTACCAATACTTAAATAATCCAGTTGAAACCTCTTTTTGTCATTAATGGAAAAATACAACATAGACGGTTGCCTATACTGAGAAGAGTGGAAATGACAGGTGTCGGGGTGAGGACGAAGAAAGTCCGTTCTGTGAGAGCTTTGCAAGATTAGTACATACAGCACCAGATCCTGTTCCGTCAGCTCCCTGGAGTCAGTACAGTTTGTGAGAAATGAACACTTCAGAATTGCAGTATAAAATATGGCCATAAAAAAACTTCTGTCTTCCAGTCCTGTGCAGGAAGGCGCACCATGCAAGGTGGGATCCCTCTGGAGTGGCTGGTGGCGCTGGTGGCCCCCGGGGGCCCCCTTCCCTGGCCCTGCCCCCTGGGCCGCACCTCCAGAGCCAGTCACTTGCTTCCAGAGTGCACTGTCGTCACAGTGGTGGGCCTCGGCCTCCGCTCCGCTCCCACTCCTGAGACCCCCGACGAAGAGGAAATGAAACTGCAGAGCGTGGAGGGTGCCAGACCTGCAGAGGGGCAGTGGACACAAGGGGTTCAAAGCTTCAGAAGGAAATACTCACTCCCCCTTCCCACTGCAAGGCTTCGTGGGGGCCCCACTTTTATGCACTTGCCTCTCAATTTTCACCTGCCTATAGGAAAACACTAGCAGTGTGTTCCAAAAGGCTTTCTTCTTAGACTCAACTCTCCCCTCCTTCTTCATTATGGTAACTGCTTTGTATTTGAACACAACATGCTTTAGCCTTCATATTAGGATAGGTTCCATTTACTGAGCACTTACTATGTACTAGGCATCGGGCTAGGTGTTGAGTACATACCATCATTATGAGAACTGTTTATTTCTTACAACAGCTCTGTGAGCAGGGATTTTGAGAATGAAGCAAGCATGCAATGTCCCTTTCTGATCGTGCTTGCTGTGCTGTCTGTACTCTTGGTTAAGAAGCATTTGTGACACACGGCACACTGAAACGCAGCTGTGCCCCTATTTCTGTGTGAACTCAGCAGTCCCCTGGCCTAGAAAAACTCACAGGCTGCCCTACAATGCTCCCCAGTGGATGTGTTGGCATCGGAAGGTCCCGATGTGGGACGAATCCTCTGTTCCTTCACTCCCGGAGTGTATCCCCTGCCCCACTCCATGCACTTGTAGGCTTGGACATAAGGAAATGGATAAAATAATTCACTAAGATGGCTGTCAGAGTCATTGTGCGAATCTTCAAAGAAACGATTGATTGTGGGGTTCCCTTTGACCAGGGGGTGGAAAGGATCTACACTGACATGTACACGTGGGTCTAATACTGTGTGTGATTGGCTCAGGGAGAATTCTTGGGAAAATTTAAGGGCTGGACATTCCCGAATGAGATGGGAGGACTATTTAGAGAGGAAGGGAACTCTTTTCTAAGGGAAATAGGAAGAAATGTGATGCCCAGAGTGAGACCAAGCTGAAGGGTGCTCAATGATTAGGGAGATGAGGGCCGATGGGGACCATCAAGGCAGCTGCTGTGAAGTGGAGAGGAGTGAGTGGAATGGCCTAATACGAGATGAAGATAAATATATAGAAGGGGCGTGGGAGAGAGAAATAAGGAGAGCGTAAGTGTGCTCTTAATGATGTAATATTCCATGCAAAGATGAAGCATCATGAAATATTACTACCATTGCTTTGACTGCAAAGCCAATGCCTTGAACATAAATCAGCTCCAATGATCATCCTCCTCATCAAAAAATATCGATGAAAAGTCAGTGAGACCAGGCTGTCCTGAGTCTCTGCCATCCCTCTCTCGGCCCCTCAGAGCCACTGCACAATGAGAAGCAAATCACTGGGGAAGAAGATAGATCAGAACGTGCCTGGGCTTTCGTCCAGACAGACATGGCTGTGTGGGACTGAGTCACAGACTTCTCCTCGATAAACGGAACATTAAATTTTTGAAAAAATTAAATAATGTTCTAGGGCTGTTGGAGTATTAAATGAGATAAAGTTTTGAAAGTGCCCGAGAAACAGCAGGTACTCAGGAAACACCCCAGATTTGTCTTCAATGCCAATTGAAAAGCACTGTTTTTGCTATATACGCACAATCTTTTTGGCCGGCCAAACTGAGGCTGCTCGAAACACTTGCATTTGAACTGTCCAGGCTGCTGCCAAGATGTAGTTTCCTCATATGTCTTACCACGGCTGTGGCATTAAATGCTTGCTGAAATTTAAGAAAGGAAAAAGCAGACAAAATATTCCAGAGAATTAGCAAAGACTCAGACTGTCTTCCATTCCTTCTGTTCCCGTAAGCATTTCAAACATCTTAAAACATTCTCATGATGCTCGAGAAAAGAAATTTATGTTGCCTCTTCTTCCCAAAGTACATGAATTTATTTGACCCCTCCCCCCATCAAAATTTATTTTGGAGATTAAAAAAATATTTTTCTTATGACATAATAAACATATAGAATAAATGTAAACTAATTCTGTAAGTTATGAGAAGGGACTTTTAGAATAAAAGCATATTATAATAACATAGGACCTTAAAATATGATGTTTTAAAATAGTTTTTATTTTCTTATTATTGGTGCTTTTGTCCTAAATAATAGCGTTTCCTCTAAATAAAGTAGGTCAGTGGAATTAATTTTGTCTCTGTACAGTCTCTCATGGAAAAGCAGCCAGCTTAATCACCCACGCTGTTTGGAACACAGGGTTTAGGTTACTAGTCAACGATCACGAAACCTCAATGGTTTAAATCCATCACATTTTTACCAGAAAATATTGATGAGTTCAACTGGGACTTCCTGTTTTTTTGCCTTTCATCTCACTGCAATAAAAGTTGACTATTCAAAGTTCCAGCAAAGTGAAGGAAGACAGCAAGGATTATGTTCTTAGGAAATTGCGGGTGAGTAAGAGCGGGCACTATTGCTATTTTTGAATCACAGACAAGTGTCAAATCTCATACTTGATCCCTCTCATGCCGTGATATTCCCCTTCAAGTCTTCATTGTCACTGGTTAAAATTAGCAGAGTGATTTGGGTGAGGTTCTGAGGGTTTTCATCAAATTTGGGTGACAGTAACCTTTAGAAATCAGCAATGCTCAAACTGTAGGGCGAGCGGTTAAGTTCACTGGCAATTTAATGAACGGCAAGACTTACTCTCCATTTGCTTTTTGCGAAGTTCTTCCGGATCTGGGCGCTGACGGATTCGTGGATGTTTTTATTGAGGGCTGTGTCACCGGCGATCCTGAAACCGAGGCAAAGATGCTGTTTCAAAAGAGTTTCTTGGGGGGCTCTGGCACTGGGCCCCAAGCTGCTTTCCCAGGAAGCCTGATCCTACCCCTTTCCTGAGGTTCACTGAGAGGCTGCCTTCCCACTGCCCCTGCAGGCTGCTTACTTCACCCTACGGCTCTTGTCTGAACACACCGTCCGCCATCCCCGCATGCCAAGTCCGTGCTACATCTATACTCTGCATCCTCTCCAGGATGGATCAGCACCCTCCAGGTTGACCTCTCTGCCTGGCTCCCACTTCCTCCCTTTTTGACCCCAATTCCTGCAACATCAGAATCCACAATGACAACGCAACCTGAATTCAGTTTCCCTTATTTCTCCCTCCCTCTCCCTCCACACCAGCTTTCATCTTGCAGTGTTTCACCTCTGAGGTCTCAAATGTGTTCCCTGTCTGTTCTGACCGCCAGATCCCTATCTGGGGCCATCTTCCCAGCTTCCTCCTACCCAAGGCCCCTCCTCTCCGCTCTTGCCACAACCTCCACTCCATGCACTCGCTCACATCCCTGGGCCCACAGCTCCGTTCTGGCTCCACCCTAGCTGAACCAATCTCTGCCATGTTCTGCCGAGTTCTCACTCACAACCACGCCAGGTGCCCCTCAGCTTCTCTGTGCTCAGGGAGAGGGCTCCCAGCCTTAGTTCAGCCCTGCTTGACACATCTTCTACTCCTGCATTTCCTAGAAAGGGTCTCAGAACTGCCAGGACCATGTCCACTCTATGTTCAGCTGGGCCCTTGATATTACTAGGCATTAGTTTTTGCTTGTTCTTTAGCCTTCTGCAAACAGGGAAGAAGGTAGGTTTGCTCTTTACGTTCTGTCTTTAGAGCTTCCCTCATCCTTTTACTTTCTTCCTCTGCTTTATCGGCTCCCCCTTCTCTCTCCAGTCTTACACCTCCCTCTGCTTTACCACCTTACCCTCTTCTCTCTCTTAGCTTACAATCTCTGGTCTTACCGATCGATCAATTAGGAGCTTGCTCACAGCTCATTCTCCTACACATCCCATCTCACCCTCAACACCATCCTCCCTCTACGTTCAACCACTTGGCCTTCCCCCCAGTTTCAGAGGAAGCCGTGTTTTGCTCCCAGTCTTCTCAGAGCTTGGATCCTTCCATCTTGCCTTTCCTTTGGCACCAAACTATTAAATTCTAAGTTGGTATCTGATGCCTAAGAAATAATTTCTTGAATCTTGGAAAAGTTAAGGGGCAGATAGATGCCAGGGACACTGACCATCCTTTCTGGCTGGAAGATGTCTGGGAAGTGGAGAAACCCATTATGTCCTGGACCCAGATGGCTCTGGACCCAAAACAGCCTGGATGCCACAGACTACTACATCCAACTGTTTTGGGAAATGAAAGGAACAAGCTGAGGGCTTATTCAGACAAGAAATCATCGCTGAAAAAAAAAAATGTTCCCACCTGCCCAGGCTTTTACTTTAGAATTGAAAACATGGCTGATGGACTGGACATTAAATCTGTGCCAGGCTGGGCCTAAGTTTAGAACACAGTCTGATATTCCCAGCTAAAAGCCACCCCCCCTTAATAGACTTCTCTCATTTTTCCAGCAGGGCTGAAAATACTTAGCCAAGAAGACGCTCAGAAATGAACCGAAGTGAACCAGGTTTCCATTTCCAACAGCTGTCAATCACCCCCTGCCCCCAGACACACACCAGTGAATAGAAATAGGATATTTGAATGAGCAAATCCATCTGAAACAAGAGTAACGAGGAGGGAGGGGACGGTAGACATCTTTATTAGGCTGCTTCTCCTAGAGAGCACATGTGAGGGTTTCCTGTTGCTCCGTTTTTTTTTAAAAGCTACATCCTCAGAAAAAGAGGCCAATTCCAATGCATCCGTGGCCAGCTCTATCTTGGAAACAAATGGGCAGAAGTGGTAGGAAGTATGGAATTCCTCGGATTGAGCACTGCCGCAGGGCACAGCCACGCTCCAAACCAAACAGCCCAGCGAGGGGGTCAGGGAGACTCCCTTCTCTGTGGGTTAGGATGGGCTGAGATGTAAGGAAAATGCAAACTCTCAGTTATCTTAGGAATGTTCCGTGCTGACTTCCCACAGTCCAAGGGTGTGCTGCAGCTGGTGAAGGATCCAGCAGGGCAGACGGTGGCCCAGAGGCTCCCATTAGGAAGTCTTCTTGGGGAGGTGCAGCCAGCTTGGGCCCTGACAGCACATGATCTTCCTCAAACGGGCACCACAACGGAAATGGCTGCTGCAGCTCCTGATGAGCCAGGATGTTTACAGTGACAGCATGTGACACTCACGATGCTCAGTGCTACTAGCTCCATCGTTATTCATAAATGAAACTGGAGGCACAGAAGCTCAGAATTGGAAGGGATCATGCTTGTCATCTCTACTGTCCTAGGAATTGAAAGCCTCTGATATAGAAGACCTTCTTTATAAATCTGTATACACACACACATACGCACACACACACATAAAGTGAGGGGCACCCATGTTCCATCCAGGTCTCCTATTCTCCCTTGCTTTCTAGTTTTCACTCTTATAGTAACACTGTAGATGGAATTTATATAAATCATGTTTTGTGAGGCCTGTCTTGCTACCTCTTCCACACACACTGATCATCCAGGTCATCCTTCCTTGCCTTTCGGTGTTTTTGTGTTTTGTACATGGTCTGCTCTGCCTCCACAACTCTGATTTTGCTTTGCCAGACACTTGCTGAAGACGGGCTTGGGGATGCCTGGGGTGTATCTCAGACTCCTGGGCTGCAGCCCAATCCCTATGGTCAACCACAGCTCAGCGGGCTGGAACCCAGAAGAGGGGAAGGGTCTCCGTGAACACTGAGGAGAAGCTACAGATGCCACCCTGGCCTGACCAACACGCGATGTCCCCCCAGGTAAGCATACTGCCGTTGCCATGGAAATGGCATCGGCTAAGTATCACCTGGGGCATGGATACCCAGGCTTGTTACTTTGGTTTCCTTGCCAATGAAACTGGAGACAGAGGTTCAGAAGAATCCGATCCAGATAATTGAACCCCGTCAAGGTGCTTCCCTGAAACCAGAAATGGATTCCTATCCCGCCGCTTGTCATTCCTACTCTTTGTCCAGCAGCCAGCGTCCTGTTGGCTCCCTACCATGCACCACCAGGAGAAAGGCAAAACCTGCAGTGTTCGCGGCTCAGGAAACACCTAGTAAGATGGGTGACAGCCCTCTATGAGGACAGCTTTGAAAGGAGCCCTCTCCAGCCTGGAGTGATCTGCTTCGAGGCTAAGGGAAGATGTCTGTGACTTCCAGAGGCCTCTCCTGGCCCCAGGTGGCCTTGATTAAGCTGGAAGAGCAGGTGCAGAATAAGAAATGATGCCCTCTGGATATCATCGATATACAGAGACCACAGCTTCCAGAATGGGGATGTTGATCAAGCTACGCTTCACTGGAATAATTACTCCACTTTCTGCTAGCTGTCAGCTGAATCTCTGTTTTCCTTCGGCCGGGCAGTTTTACATAAAAGAAACAAGCATATCATAAATACAGGCAAGTGGGGCGTTTCAGTGATGCTTGAGTCAAATGCATTGATTTTTTTCAATTTCTAATGTTTGACTTCCTGGGAATTTTGAAATTCACAGTGAAAATTATAAAGCATTGAGAAAAACCACCTTGAAGTAAGAAAGACTTTCTCTGTGCAGCTCACATGCTATGTCTTAATGTGACCCAAGCTGATGACTCTGAAATCCTTGTCTCTGGCTGAACCTCTCCCCTGAGCTCCAGACTCATTCAGCAAAGCGCCCACCACAGATCTCTATCTAGATGACCCTGAACCTCCTCATCCCTTTCACTCAAGCCTGCTTGTTCTCCCGGCACAGTCATCCTCCCAGCCGCTTGAAATGGAAACTTGGGAATAACCTTGGACCCCTCTTTGCCTCCGCCACCCACCAGTGCTGAGGCTTCCCAGGCCCTGGACTATCTCCACGGTCTCCTCCATCCTCTCCAGCCCTGTCATTCCTTCTCTGGGCCAGCCTCCTCCCCATCTCCGGTCTGCACCTTTCTGCCATCCTCCGGCGCCCCTTATTCAAAGGACTTATCCTCTATCCTGCAGCCAGGCGAGCTTTCTACAACGCAAATCTGATCACCCTGCTTCAAACCTGTCAGGGGCCCCCACTGCCCAAATGGAAAAGACCAAATTCCTTGGTACAATAATAAAATAACAGTAACTCCTAGAGATTGGAGATTTATTAGCACTCCTCTTCTTCGTATGTATTATCTCATTCCATCCCTAGAAAAGCCTGACAGAAGATGTACTGCTGTTATTTGTCATCCCAGTTCTACAGCGGGGCCCCAAAGGGCCGAGGAGCTTGCCCACACGGTAATAAATGCTGAAGCCAGGACTTGAACTCAAGAGGCTGCACCAGAGCTCACACCAGAATCCCGCTGCTTCTGCCTTCCTTTCTAGTCTCCCTCGCACCCGGCTCCTTTGCCCGGTCTTATTCCAGGAATACCGCATACTGGGGCACCGAGGATGGATGTGTGGTTTAGCCCCCACGTGTGGCCCAGGTGGCTCGCTCGGTCCGGAATCCTCTCCTCATCCTGGATGGCCTGGCGAAAGCCGTCTCATAGGGCGAGGCTTGGCACCTCTGTGAAGTCCTTCTTCCTTCTCCTGAGCCCACCCTGCCCGCTCTTCCAGGCCCCTGAGTCAAACCCACCTCACCCGTCTTTGGTTTCTCAAAAATATCTGGTGAGGGAGAGCCTAGGTTTTAACTGGCCTCCTTCCGGCCTCCTACAGAGCGAGGCTGGATGAGGGAACAGGAACCAGACAGCAAACCACCTCCCTTCTTTTGAGCTCATCTTCCTCCTCTACAAGATAATCCCAAAAGTCTCATACAAACTAGATAAATAAGTCCTGGGGATGTGATGCACGGCCTGATGACTACGGTTAACCCTGCTGAATGGCGTATTTGAAAGTTGCCAAGAGAGCAGATCCTGAAAGTTCTCATCACAAGGAAACACATCATTTTTTTGTAACTCTATAAAGGTGATGGGTGTTAACTAAACATCACGGTAATCATGTCACAATATATACCAATGTTAAGTCATTCTGCTGTACACCTTAATTTATACAGTGTTGGACATCAATTATATCAAAATACATAAATAAATATACCAATATATTTTTATATATTTATATGTTCTATTATATTTATATTACTATGTATTATATAAAATAAAAAATATATAAAACAAAAAATAGTCTTGTACAGCTTTAAAGGTCTACTGTTTATACAGTAAGAAAACCTTTATTATCATCATTGTCACATATTTTGACCTACGGTCCAAAATGACTTATTAAAAAATATCAAGGGGCCGGCCCAGTGGCGCAGCGGTTAAGTTCGCACGTTCCACTTCGGCAGCCCAGGTTTCACCAGTTCAGATCCCGGGTGTGGACATGGTACCGCTTGGCACGCCATGCTGTGGTAGGCGTCCCACGTACAAAGTAGAGGAAGATGGGCACGGATGTTAGCTCAGGGCTAGTCTTCCTCAGCAAAAAGAGGAAGATTCGTGGCAGATGTTAGCTCAGGGCTAATCTTCCTCAAAAAAAAAATTATATATATATATATATCAAGATGATATACAATCAAAACTGCCTCCTTATTCAGAAATTTCTTTCTTTGCCCTCTACCCCATACCTTCTTTCCCTTTTCCTTCTCGTTCCACGTGGAAGCAAAGAGCATTCATTTTGCAACCCGCCAGTTCGTGTCATCTTAGCTAAGTTACTTTATCTTTCTAAAGCTATTTCCTTATCTCTGAAATAGAGACAAAACCTACCTTACAGGGTATTCTAAAGAAAATAAATGAGATGCTATTTTAAAGCGATTAGCACAGTGCCTACAACACAAGAAGTGTCAATAAATGACATTATGTGACCATAAATGAAAATGCTATCATGACACCACCTGTGAGCAGGTCCCCAGCCTGTGAGACTGTAGGAAATGCCACAGGAGATGGTGGAACACACAAGGGGCTGGTTTTCTAGAGTGCTTCGCAGGGGGAACTTCTCCTGAAGTCAAGGTCTGTTTATTTCCATTATATTGGATATTTGACTACTCCTGGCCTTTGTTTCAGAATGCATGCTCATGTGCTTTAATAATTACAGCCTAACGAAGCAGTTACTAGGTACCAGATATTGTGCTAAACCCTTCACATGCATTATTTCAATTATTTCTTACATCAACCCTCTTAACCAGATATGGTTATTCTCTTTTTTTTCTGTGAGGAAAATTGGTGCTGAGCTAACTAACATCTGTGCCAATCTTCCTCTATTTTATGTGGGATGCCGCCATAGCACGGCTTGATGAGTGGTGCTAGGTCCGTGCCCGTGATCTGAACCAGCGAACGCCGGAGTGTGCGAACTTAACCAATATGCCACCGGGCCGGCCCCAACATTTTAAAGATGAGAAAATTGAGGCTCAAAGAAATTAAGTACAAAGCCAAAGTCACAGCTAGTTGACAGTGAAGCTGGGGTCAAACCTAGGAAGGTGGCCTGCCAGTCACTGCTGACAATGCCGTCTGGAATGCCATAAACCTGCAGTTAATCCCTCTGGAGTTGAAGAAACCTACCTTGAAAAGCATCTTAAAAGGAAAAGAATATATAACCTCAATTCACTCATGAGTGGATAATAAATTCAAGGAATAAAACTCCAATCTTAATGCCTCCTTGGGGAATTACCTTCAATAAAAATGATCCTAAAATACTTCACGGGAAGTGCAAAAGCTACAGCTATCTTTTGCACACTTAACTTGTCGTTACTGCCTTCAGAAGATTGTCCTGAGGGAACAGCAGAGTTCGAATGTTGGCTCGGGGAAAGGATTATACTTCCCGGGCCTGGATGAGATTATTAATCATTGCCTGCGGCTTTACGGTGACAACAGCCAGCACCAAGTTTTCTCTGGGAAGGCGTTAGAGGACACGGCGTTCTAGAGCGGTCTTTCTTACCATGGGTGCCGAGCTGCTTGCTCACATGTGTATCTTTTATTGGGATCTTTCTCCATCAGATTCCGAATGAAGTCTTTTGCTGTTCAAAAAGAAAGTAGGAGGGAAGGAGTCAGTCTGTGGCCTGAGATGGGAGGATATGATACCACCAGGTCTTTGAGAGTGTCATGGGCAGCATGAAAATTACAAAGCCAGCCCTCCATGGACCCTACAGTACCTTGGACACAAAAGGCAGGCGGTACTAGCATTAAGGGAAAAGGGAAGCCAAGGCTTGGGAGCCTGAGTGGTGACCTGTGAATGGCAGCCAAGCCAGGCCTGGGACCCTCCCTTTCCAGCTCGAAGTCCGTTTCCTCTGGGAGGTGGCGACACCTTGGTTCAGAGAAGAGATGAAACATCTTTGTTGTCATGTGCCTCTCATTCTGCTCACCGCTGCCCTTGGGAGCTGTTGTGTTGATGCCCTCTCCATGTTTTAGACATCACTCACTGAACAAAATACCCTGGTTACCTACTAAGCCAGCCAGGTCCTGGGCTAGGCGCTGTGGATACGCAGCCCTCAAGAAGCCCCACCTACAGCCCCCTTTGCCATTTACGATGAGCAGGAGTTGCAAGGCAATAAGATGTGCCCTGATGGGGAAGTGGAGAGCGCTTGGAGGCCCTGGACAGGGTATGACCCACAAGCAGGACACGAAGAACATGAGGGACTGGGTCACAGAACCAAAAGATGGCACCCGTGTGCAGGCTGGAAATCTGTAGCATCGTAGGGCCTGGGAACTCACCACTTACAGGACTGGGCCTCTGGGGAAGGCAGTGCCCTTCCTAGCTCAGAAGTTAAATACTCCCCATGCAGCAATTTCCTGTTTGCCTTGGAGAACTGTACTCGGTCCCACATTTTAGAATATTGAGGAAGAAAGCAAGGTGTTTCCAGTTAGGAGGAATTAACACAAATAATAAAATGCGTTATTTGAACAGCTTATCAGTGAGCACAGAGCTCTGTTCCACTCATTATTTCATTTGGTCCTTATACTACCCTCGTGGAAGGGAAGAGTATTACTATCATCCTTATCTCGTCAGTGAGGAAACTGAGGCTCCAGAGATGACGTCAGTTTATGTGGGTCTTGCTTTTGATCTTTATCCCTGAGGAGGAAATGGTGAGCTTCCCTGGGCTGTGGATGTGGGCTCTGCAGTGAGGGCTTGGGTTCAAATCCCAGTTCTGCCACTGACCAGCTGTATGACTTCAGTCAAATTATTTCACTTCTGGGGTCTCAGTTTCCTCATCTGTAAAATGGGAATGGTAGTAATACCCATCTGATACAGGTTGTCCTGAGGACCGAATGAGTTAGCACATGTGCTCAGCACACAGTAAGCGCTCAATAAATGTTAGCCAACATTGTTTCAGATCAGGGCGCAGTTAGGAGTGGTGGAGGAGTGAGTCCCCATCCCGCAGCCTGGCTTGGGCCAGATGTCCACAAGCCCATCCTCCCCTTTGCAAGTCAAGCCAGGTGTGTGGCTCAGGAAGCTTCCTCGGGAGCCTCAGGACTGTTCTGAGCCCCCCGGGCCCATCAGAGTCAGGTGGTCTGCGTGTAAAGTCCCAGGAGCGGCCCAGGGGGAGCCAAGAGACCTACCAGAGTCGGAGATGTCATCCCAGTATGGGGAGTCGAACTCATATTCTGCCTTGAGGATCTGTTCAAAGAGCTTGGAGTCATTTTCATCATAAAAAGGAGGGTAGCCACAGAGCCTGGAAGACAAGATGGGTAAGGGTCTGAAATGGTGCGCATCCAGAGTGGTGGTCTGACACTTGGCCTGGAAGGAAGAGCCACTCCCCTTGAGTTGAGAAACTCTGCACTGTGTCCTGCAAACAATCGCAGCGAAGAACTCACACGTTCTAGGGACACAGAAGTACATTTGTGATTTAATAAACAGGAAAAAGGGGGAACGGCCCGGTGGCGCAGTGGTTAAGTTCGCGTGCTCCGCTTACGTGGCCTAGGATTCACCAGTTCAGATGCTGGGCATGGACCTACCCACTGCTTATCAAGCCATGCTGTGGCAGGCGTCCCACATATAAAGTAGAGAGAGATGGGCATGGATATTAGCTCAGGGTCAGTCTTCCTCAGCAAAAAGAGGAGGATTGGCAGCAGACGTTAGCTCAGGGCTAATCTTCCTCAAAAAAAAAATAAGTAAAAAAATAAAATAAATAGCTAAAAGGTTAATTCAGGAGATGATCAAAGGTAAATATATGTATGTAAGTCCACCTTTTTGCACATTATTCACCACAGAGTCCCGTACACCCTACAAACCTACCAGACAGCCTTCTGTGTATAAATGTTGTTAATCGGACTGTCTGTGATATTGTCCCTAACAGATAATGGGCTGGTGGAAAAAACAAAATACATATTTATATACATTTTAGGGCTCTTCCAGGTTCGTTTTACTTAATAAGTGATAGGAGGAAGAAAGGAAATTTTATAAGCTTGAGTATCAAGTTGTCACAAGTCACCCTAAACTGCACGTTATCATATCACCCTACCCTGTCCAAATCAGGTGTTTGGAAGGTTATAGTTTTGCCCATAAATATGCAATAAGCACAAGCAGAATTTGACAGAAATGTCAATACTACAACATTGTAATATATCATTCCTTTTCCACTGAACCATTTCAAAGTTGATTTTTAAAGATCCTATTAGGATGTTGGTGCAAATAACGTGTAGTTCTGGAGGTACAGTCAGTCATTTAACAAACACAGTAAGAGTATAAATTTTTATTAAATACCGCAAATACAATTTGTTCCATAAAATCATGGATTCTCCCTCCAGTTCCAATGTGACCTTCATCATTAGTAGGCCATTGATGCATTTTCTGGACCCAAATGTCCTCATCTGAACTTGAGGAGACCAGACCAGAAAATTCCCAATATTCTTTCTGGCTTTAAGATGCTGTGGCTCTGTGACTCCCTCTCCCGATTTGTTTGGCTGGCTATGAGACCCAGGGAAAGATTTAGTACATGTATGAGGCCCACGTGGGGCCGGGGCAGGCCCTGGTGGGGTCTGGACAGCTGGGAATCGGTGGGATTGAGGCCACAACTGTAAGTGACCAACACAGCAGAAGGCAGGGCTGGATTCTAGAAGGCCAGGCGCAAAAGTGGATGGCACCGAACTTGCTTCTGGGCCCGCGACAACCAGAGGGTGGCAGCTACAGCCAGAGCCTGCCCTGAAAGGAGCCCTGAATCTTCCCACATAGCCAAACTTTGTTCAAAACACAGCCACAGGCTGGAGACCACTTTAATGAGAACAAATTAGCAGGAATCAGGCCCGTGAGGGGTTAGGCTGTCGGCAAATATGAAATTTAATGAAAGTTCGAAACAGTTTTGGTACAGCCATTTTTCAGCCGCTCCTGCTGTGACACGTGATATGACAGCCACGCTGTAGAAGGGAAAGGCTGATGACATCTTTAAAGGCTGGGAGACATTCTGTGGACTGATAAGATTCAAAGTCATCTATCCCCACAAGGTTGATTTAGGGGCTAAGTGCCTGGAAAACTTCATTTTTAAAGATTTGCTGCTGTGGGGGAAATGAATGAGAGCCAGTGCTTCTGAAACCACTAAGTACATATTTCACTGCCCAAGGCAGCCCCAGAGCCAGGAGATGGATATGTAAATGTTTCCCATAATGAGGATTTGGGCTAAATGAAATGTGCATATTAGAATAAGCAGACAGAGCAAAACGTTAGTTTGTTTTGGAAAATAACTAAATTTTAAATACGTAAGGGTTTTGTTTATTAACAGCTGAGTGTTTTACTTTGCAGTTTGGCTTTCTTTACAAGGAAAAAAAATCTTTAAGAAAATTCCAAGAAAGATTTATCCTTCTTGTGCCAATTTTCTTAGTGTATATCCCAATTTCTTCTGGTTTTAACCCTTTTGGGGGGAGTATAGAATACTATGTTTATGTGGCTGTACTGAGGACAGAAGACAAGGCATCGGAGACCTAGCAAGTGAAAATTAAGAAAAGATTTTAAAATAAGTGTTATAAAAGAACAGAAGGGCAAAGAGAAGTTGTAAAATTTTCCCCAGATCTAGAGATTTCACAGAGAGCTCCTGGCCAGGCAATTTCATTGGTAGGTGTGTGTGGAGAGTTCCACTGGGAGAAATAACAACTTTGGGCTGTTTATCTCCATATACAGAACACTGACTTCTGTAGTCCTGGACCCGCCCATTTGCAGGTGTAAACTCTGCCTTCTTATTTTACACGTCAAACCGTTTAAATAATCTATGAATTATCTCACCACGGGTACTCAAAGACAATAACGTCATTCCCAATTGTTCCAGGCCTAAAAGTTTCTGGTTCAGAATAACATCTCAACTTGCCAACCCAATGACCTATGGTCACAGCCAACAGGCCTTCAGAGGGCTCTTCCACGGCCTCCATCCATCCTCAGGACGGCGGTCCAGGAGACTGCTTACACCTTCCAGCCTTTCCTGTTGCTATTTAGTTTGCTATCTCATCTATCTGTGGCACACTTAAATGCAAACAGACCACTAGGTTTGCGTTAGCCTTGCCTGAGCACTTATTTTGGGTCAAGAACTCCACTAAGAGCTTTGCCATATTGCCTCACTCAAACCTCACTGCCCAGGAGGTGGTGACCTGACACCTTCCTTTTGCCCTTTAGAGCCACTCTCTGCCCTGCTCTGTCCCTGCGGGGCTGCCCTGTACGGACAGCCAGATGAAGGTTGAACTCTCCAACATCCGGTAGGGGTTGACCAAGGAGGACCCCCGGGGAGATAGCAAAGGAAGGAGGAAATCAGGGACAGGGCATGTGTCGCCCTGGCCCCCTCTCAGCCAGTGCTCAGGCTGGGTATACCCTTGACTGTGGGCCACTGCTCCTCTCCAGGGGTGGACTCTACCAGACTCTCCCCCTAGGGTCTGGTAACCACACCCCACCTCCCCTCATTACCTTGAATCAGCTGCTTAAAGCTCAACGTCACGGTGCCGTTCCTCGTGCTTCTCTCACACCACACCTCTGTATACAGCCCCTTGTATAATCCTCATCTGAAAGCCAAACTGATTTCAATTCTTTTGGATAAATACCCAAAAGATTGCTGAATCATATGGTAGCTCTATTTTTCATTTTTTGAGGGACCTCCATACTGTTATCCACGATGGCTACGCCATTCTGCATTCCCACTCACCGTGTGTGAGGGTCCCAATTTCTCCACATCCTCACCAACACTTGCTGTCTTTTGTTTTTTTCATTTCTCCACAGAAGACACATACACGGCCAACAGGTATATGAAAAGATGCTCAACATCACTAATCATCAGGGAAATGCAAATCAAAACCACAATGAGCTATGACCTCGCACCTGTCAGGATGGCTATCATGAGGCAGTGACTTTTAAAACATGTATCCACACGGATCTTATAGTATTTCACGGTCATCATAAGATGACCAATTGATAAGATGAGCAATTTCATTCAGGTTAACCAGCCAACTTACACATATTTACTTAGTGCCTTATGTATAGCTAGCATTCATTTACTCATCAAACGTTTATTTTGCACCTACTATATACCAGGCTCTGAGTTTGACAGTGGAGATACGAGGATAAATAAGAACCAGTTCCTGCCTTCAAGAGCTCAGTCCAGTGGGAGAGAGACACATAAACAGATAATAATGACACAGGTGGTAACAATAAGAGACATACACAGGGGCCATTACGAGCATATAGAACTTGGACATTGAACCCAAATAGTTTTAGGGGGGAGTAGAAGGAGCAGATGCCAATGCTTTGTCTCAAAGGATGACCAGCAGATGGGTAGGAGAAACAGAGGCAGCACGGTTGAGAAGGGCTAACCTGGAATAAGGCCTGGAGGCATTAAAGGGCACAGCTGATTCAAGAATGTCACAGCAGTTGCTGCTGCTACAGTGTAACATATGAGTCAGTGCTACAGTGCAACATACATGTCAGCGCTACAGTGTAACATACATGTCAGTGCTACAGTGTGACATACATGTCAGTGAGTTGTACTAGATGAGGCCGGTGAAATGGATGGCAGTGGGACCACGGAGGGCCATGTTCTCACACTAAGGTAGGTGGTCTCTCCAGAAGGTAACAGCAAGCCCCTGAAAGGTGTAGACAGAGAAGCCATCTGGGCAACTGGCTTTGCGGCTGAGGAGGGGGAAATTGAGGCAGGAAGACAAGTGAGCCGCTGAACTCAGGCAAAGGAAGGACAGGCGGGGGCAGGTGGTGGTCGGTGGATTAGGCAAACAGAATGATTCCGAAAGGAGTTTAGAGAGAGCCCCGGGAGGATCTGGTGTCTATCAGTGTGGTGAGTGAAGGCCAGGAGGACAGCCAGGTTTCCAGCGAGCTCAAGTGGAGCTGCCGTCAACTGTGGTGAAGAATACTGGAGGACGTGTCACCACAGCACCTGGCAACTCCAACTTATTCTTTCAATGGAAACTGCCTCGCTCGGGGAAGCAGCTCTGGGCAGTTCCTTGTGTGTGTGTGGAGGGGGGACCTGGTCCACCAGGGTGACCCTTGAGGCAGCCTGACATCAGTGGGAATCAGCTCTCGTAATCACATTTGTTTGGACGGAAGACTAAGAGATCCTGGGAAGAGAGGCAAGCTGATGGTGCAGGGTGTGGAGAGAGAAGCAGGGATGCCAGGAGGGAAGCACCAGCTGAGGGGTGAGGCTGTAAGAGGAGCCAGTGCCCGGGGCTGTATCAGCATAAAGGGCTTCCATTC